TTAAATTTCTTCTCTTTTAAATGTAGTACATTGGTACTTCGTTAGAGATTGGTCTATAATTTTTTATGGAATTTATTTTTCGTGCATTTGGCAGTGCTTTTGGTGAAGAAAGACACCCTTTGGAACCCTCGAAAAACCACCCTCCTTATGCTAGTGTAGGGATGTTAGCTCAAAGTATATATAACAATCCAAGAATGGGTGAATTGGATTATTTCCAAAATTTTTTCCAAAATTGACTTTTGATAAATTTGAATAAAAAGTTAAAACAACAAGATTTTTATGAAAATTTGATGAGATTAACAATAACAAAAAATAAAACACATATAAAAAATAATGAAAATAAAAAAAGTTAAGATAAAAAATCAAACATAAAGATTCCAGTATTTTTTCAAAGACATTTATGTCCTCTCCCTTAGTTATTTTAGCCAAAAAACAATCCACTATATATTAAATCTTTAAATAGCCTATACAAGGCTATGAGCATAATCAAACAAAAAACCTTAATGGTTTTTCCCAAAATCTCATAAATACACTTAAAAGTTTTAATCCCTTTGGACCCACAATCTCAAATAAAAGACAAATGGTTTTGCAAACTAAAATAATGATGTTTATCCAATTAAGTACAAAGAATAATAAATGGAGAACAAATATAATTTGGATATAAGAATGGAAAGAATTAAAACTCTAATATTTAGAATGCTTTTGAATTCTTGAGAGAATAAAGGTAAGGTTTGTTAGTGCTTACTCTCTTACTTCACAAGTGTGTTGGAATACATAATTTATAGAAGAAATGAGTTTATAGTCGTTGTAGTAGATTGAAAAATGAAAATGCATACTTTTCTTCTTTCAAAGTAGCTGTTAAAAATTGTCATAAGCAAAAAGATCAATTGGGTACATTAAAGGATTGAATGGGACTTGAATTTAATTCAAATTTTGATTGTTGTAAGATAATGGATTGATTCATTTTCAAAATGGATAGATCCATTTTCATAAATGGTCAATCCTTTTTTAGAAAAATCAATTTATTTTCAAAATAGATTGATTCATTTTTACACAATGTTTAAAGGATATTCTATATGAACAATGCATCGATTGTCTTCAAATAAATCTTTTTTCACATTCTACTTACTAATTTGATCATATCTTCAGTTATACAAATACAAATCATATTTCATTGAATGATTTAGAAACTACACTGAGCTTTCTATACCTATAAAATTTAACATTTAATTCAATGAATAAAAATTATAGTGAATTTTTAAAACTATCACTTGTGCAGTTGTTAAACAACTTGCTTAATCTCTAATAGAAGTTCAAAATCTTTTCTTTGAAAATTTAGATTTTAATATTGGTTGGTTCATTGGAAAATAGAATTAAAAAGTTTTCAAACCATATAAAATTTGAATATTAAAACTTTATAAATTAATACAAAAAATAAAACAAATCAATGTTGCAAAACTTTGTTCTTACAAAATAACTTTTTTAGTTAATTTATTTCTCAAAATCAATATTATTAAAATTATTTAAAGTCAAGATAAATAATTTATTTAAAAATACAAATTAGACTTTCATTTGAACTTAAATAAATAATCTTTAGAAAGTATTTTTGATTTGAGATATTCAAAATATAAAGAAAAAGTTTTAAATTTTTAAAAATATTTTCTAAAATCAAATAATATTTTGGAAAAAAATAATATTTTTTAGTATAAAAAATAATATATCAAAAGAATTATGTATTAAATAAAATTTTTTCAAAAATCTAAAATTTTTTTTCCTAAATATTTTTCATTTCAAATAACACTAGTAGTTATTTAGTGCTACAAACAATATAATTTAAAAACATGTACTAAATCAATATTTTTAAAATTTTAATCAAATTTATTTAACTTAATATTTTTTTCATTTCAAAATAAGAATCAATTCAAGACTAATAATTTCTTCTTTTTGATATGATGAAGGTAAATTTATTTAATGAAAAACTTCTTTTGAAATATATTAAAATTTTGAAAACCCATTTTTAAAAACTTCTTTTTAAAAACCGTGCATGTTTTCTAGCAAAACTCTATGTTGACTAATGCATTCTTTATTTTAATCCAACATATAGTCATAATTCTATATATATATATATAATAATATGTTAAAACATATATAATCTATTAGGCACACACACATATATAAAAGTAAATTTATCCATAAATTTTTTTTCTCTTTTTTGTCATAGCAAAAAAGAGGTCAATTCAAGCATAAGACAATTTTTAAGAGCAATTAATGTCATGCGTAAAGAATCCATGCATTCAAGTGTAATATGCACAATAAACTTTAAATACTGTATTCAATTATAAAGAGCATAAATATTTCAATGTATCTATTTTTAGTATTTTAGAATAAAAATTTCAAATTCATTAAATGATACATATAAGCAAACGGATAGAGAAATAATATGCAGACTATTTATAAATCATATTTTTATAAAATATGCTTATAATTTAAAAACACCGATATCATTTAAATATAATTCAAGCATATATATTCAATCTCATAACAAATATAAAGATATGCCCATATATGCCACTTAAACAATTTAATTTAAGATAAAATTGTATTAGCAAGTTTTCTTTTTTAAAAAAAAAATCAAATTTGAGGGCGTCATATTTTTGCATGAAAAAATATAAGCTTTGGATCAAGGAAATAGGTATTACTTTATATTAAAGGTATAGATACTGAGAACCATAAGCCATTCCAGTGAAAGTTCAAAAAATCAAATTAGCAATGTTTGTTTAACCAACTTTCATAAATCAAAACACATATTTTAAGCCATAAGAAAAGATCCAATAGTAATCTAAAATGATAAAGATAAATCTTTTATAAGTATATCCTATCCAAATGCATATGCAATAAGATAATAACTTTATATGTTATATTTATATTGTATATTTATATATATATATAGACAAGTTATAAAATACCACTGAGCAATAAGGTTCTTAAAAAGATCATGTCGTAAACAACAATATGAAAATATATTTTCAAATAACATAAAAACAATATACAAAGATATAAGCATTTAGACACAATGTGGTACATTCTATTTCAATTTTTTTAATCCATAACTATGTATAATAAATTTCAAATTATAATTATAATCTATGAGTCAATGTAATTTAAAGTTTATGAAATTTTAAGATAAAAATTTTTTAACTCATAAACATGTTCAAAGATTTATCTTAAGTTAATTTTCATGCATTAAAAACCATTTATCTAATAAAAAAATAGGTATTAATATCAATACAAACTTTTAAAAATATTGAAACAATTTCTATCAAGTGGCTTGGTGATTAATTTGTGCCATAGTGTTAACATATTCAAACACAATACCATATATTTGCAAAATAATAAAAAGAAATTCAAAGCATTATTAGCCGTTAGCTTGTATATCATGACCACATCATTGAGTAAGCATATTTACTCCATTCTTATTAGTTTTGTTGCATGTGTGCATTGTAGTTGAGTAACACTTTGAAATCCTTCATTCCAAAATCATTTGAGCAAGGTTTTTAATACTTGAGCTGATTTGATTGAATATATACTTTGCTACCAGCTATACCTGAAATATTCAATATAAACTCATTCATGCACCTTTTAAAAATTTTCCTTGCATAAACTTAGAAAAACCCTTAAAAAGAAATATTCATTAACAGCATAAAGAATACCAATTAATAAAAATATTACCAATTGATAGAAAATTATTTCCATATTTTAAGTCATTAGGAAAAAAAATAAATTTGTTTACTAAACACAAGTTGTCATTTGCAAGAAAGATATATTTCATCAAAATAAATTATTCAATATTAATATATGCCATATATAATATTGAACATCAAATAATAAATTGTGGCATAAAGTTAAAGCCTTCTAAGTAATATGCAA